TAAAGCCAGTCACAGTAACCAAACTTGAAAATAATAAAATGACGATGAGTGAATGATTTGATAACTTGGAAATAAAAATTTATCTAGATATTGTGAATTTTCCTCCAAAAGCATGAGATCCCATTGTTGGTTAGTAGCATAAAAATCCATTTTATAAATCTTCTGAAAGTGAAAATTCATATTATTAGAAAAAAAGTTCTTATGTTATTATATTTAGTTCATTTCCCACAGTTTTCTATGATATTTCTATGATACAAAATATTATTTTAGAGAAAGTAAACTAATTATTAGAGTCTGAATGTGTAAAGTATTATTATCACGGTTTTCCAATTTATATACGTATATGCATATATACTTACTTTGTTTTTCTTACCTCTCTCTGATCAATTGACTGATTAATTCAATTACATGATCAACTCGATAACTCAACAATAACAGTACAGGCGTCCCTCGTTATACGCGGTTAATTCATTCCTGAAAATTCCGCGTATAAAAAAACCGCGTATAAAAAAGCATTAGTCTTATGGGAAATCGGGGGTTGCGTTCCACGTCCTTACAAAAATACGCAATTTTCACAAAAAAATCAGTTTTTTTTATTGAAAAAATCAGTTACACGACTTTGTTTTGCTCGTCGCAGTAAATCTGACTGTAATTCTGTATATGGGCGCATAGCTTCTTCGCAATTGTGTCTAAATTTAATACTGCGTGACATTATCGGGTCATTGAGAATTAACAATTCGAAAGCCTCTTGAATTAATGACATCGCATTTGCCACTGTTTTGTACGAAAGATGTGGTGGTTCTTCTTGTGATCCAAGATCGTCCTCATCGTCCGCTACATGTCCCGGATCCAAGATCTCAACAAGGGCACTAGGTGTAAGATCAATGTTCTCATTTATCAAGCTCACAACTTCAGCTGCTTCCATGTCTTTAAAACCGTCTGCTTCGATCCCTTTTGCAACCTCTACGACCTGCTGTGCAATTTGCTGTGCGTTTAATTCGGGCTGTTTGTCTTGAACAATTTCGGGCCACAATTTTCTCCAACTTGCATTCAGTGTGTAAGATGAGACTTCTTCCCAAGACGACTGCACGATAAGTATCGACTGTAAAATAGAGAATGTCTTCCAATAACCTCGCACTACTCCAGTAGGGTCGACTTGTCCTGCTGGAATTCTATTGATATCAGCGATCATGTTTTTTAACACACGGCGTAAGTGTAAGCCTTAAAGGTCGATATTACGGTTTGATCCATTGGTTGCAACAAAGACGTTGTGTTGGGCGGAAGAAACAAAACTTCTAAGTTGGGATGAGCATCTGATAAATTTTTTGGATACGAAGGTGCATTGTCCATCAATAAAAGAACTTTAAAATCAAGATTTTCTGTTTTGAGAAAACTTTGCACTTCGGGCATAAACGATTTTGATATCCAGTCTTCCATAATTTTACCAGTAACCCATGCTTTTTTATTGAATTGCCAGAATACCGGTAAATGATCTTTTCGTTTCCCCTTAAGAGCACATGGATTTTCAGATTTATAAACTAACAGTGGTTTGCACTTATAAGTGCCAGATGCATTACTGCACAACATCAGCGTGTAACGATCTTTCGGAATCTTAAAACCTGCCGCTTTGTTTTCATCTTTTGTTAAAAATGTGCGATTAGGCATTTTTTTCCAGAAAAGGCCAGTTTCATCACAGTTAAATACTTGTGATGCATGATACCCTTTTTCAGCAATTAATTCCTTGAAAACTTTCGGAAACTCTGTCGCAGCTTTATAGTCGGCAGAAGCACTTTCGCCGCTGAATTTGACATTATGAAGAGAATATCGTTTTTTAAAACCTTCGAACCAACCTTTACTAGCTGTAAACTTCTCATTCGTTTTTGAAATTTCCTTGTTGAGATAATCGAAATAGTATAATGCTTGTTCACGGATCACTGCAGAACTTAGTGGAATTCTTTGGCGGGTTTTATCTTCTATCCAAATATACAACATGTCTTCCATTTTTTCCATGTTTGTGCTTCTCACGTATTTAACAGTTTTACCATGTACACCCACCTGTTCAGCCGTCTCTCTAATTTTTTTTTCATTGTTTCTAATTGTGCGGATTGTTGATTCATTAACCTGTTTGATATGTCGTATTTTACTTCTTTGCTTAAGATATAGTTGCAAACTATTGCAAACTATGCAAACTATTTGCAGCTTACTTGATATTGTTGAGCAAGGAAAACTACTTTTTCTCCTCTCCTAAGACTGTCAAGAATTTTCATTTTGTCTTCAAGACTCATAACTTTTTTTGCTCTTTTTACAACTCGTTTGTCAGGAGAATTATTTTGCGTTTAGGAGGCATTTTTATAACTGATTTTTTTATAAAATGAACAAATTGGACAATTCTTAGTAGAAATTCCAAGTTAAATATAATTAACACAGAAATTCGGATCCCCTATAAGAAAGAATTTATAAGTCTCATGTATATTAAGTTATTTGAAAATTAATACTAATATGGTGCGTGAATAGTGAATAAATAAAAGATATGGATTTATTTTTATTATAATTTTATCAAGTATAATTAGGCTCGTATTTATCCGGCATAAAAACCCTAGTCATAAGTAGGGAAAAGCCATCTAAATATGAGCAAATACAGTCGACGAATGTACAAAGAGTTATGCTACTTATTATAATTAATACATTTCGGCAGGCTCGCTTTGCCTGTGAATGGCCATTCAAGTTATAGACTACTCGCTTACCACACGACGCTAATTGCACCTTGTGCGAGAAGGAAGGTTGTCTCCTAGAGCAGCACAGTGCCAACGTCTTGGTCACGGGCACGGCCCGTACTATGCTGCCCCTAAAGTAGGGCCGAGTTGCTGCTGTCTGAGCTGCCCAGGGTCGGAGACGCCTCAGAGGATATCACGCATATCCTTAGCTAGGCCTACGGGTGCCGGTAGCCCTTGTTGCGATCGTGGGTTCGACAAGTCACAAGATAAAAGGCACGATACTGCAGGAACTCGCACTCACATTCAACACACACGTTACCCGTGAAGGCTAGCACGATAAACTAACACAACGACGTAACAATTGAAAGCAGCAGTTAACTGAGCGCAACTAGGTGACTGAAAAATAATGCGACGAGGTGCTGAGATAGAGCTACGAGGTGTAAGGATCGAGTTCTCGAGAGCTACTACAGCTTCCTCCTTCCTGAAGAAGGATCAGAGTTTTCTCCAGCATTGGGCCTGTTCGAAGAGCCAATTAGAAAAATGCAAGGTTTATAGTGCCGAATTTCCCTCCGAATGTTTACCTGCGCGACAATTGCTGGACGACCATCCCTCTGTTTTTTTGTATCGCGCGCGCACCGCTGGAACTGCCGCACGTGTTAATATTCTGGGTTTTCCCCATCCGCAAAAAAAAGGAGAAAACATTAAGCGACAAAGGACCGAATTTCTAAATAAACTTTCACATTTACAACAGCCAAAAAAAAAAATGTTATAAATTATTACTCTCTACTTTCGTGCTATGCACATGGAGCGCAGATGCCGCGAACATAAAAGTTTTATTAGAAAACTAATAAATGTTTTCTAAAAGCAGAAAAATAGATATATAATAATTTTGAGGTTTTGTTTAGAAAAAAATACAATAACATTTTACGACTAACGTGAATATTGCTCCGAATCGATCTTCGAACCGCGTATAATCGAGGGAATGACCGCGCATAACGAGGGATGGTGCATTTTCATTGACCGCGGATAATGAAAACCGCGGTTAAAAAAACCGCGTATAACGAGGGACGCCTGTACTGGGGAGTTATATATTGGGGAGTTTGAGACTTACAAAGGCAAGGGTGCCCTTTGAGCACCACGCTATTTAATCTTGCCTTTGCCGACCTGGAAGTCAAGATCAAACAGGTGCAAGAAGGAGGGGTAGTGATAGGAAGGAAGAATATATGAATATGCAGGTGATACGTATAATGATGGTATTGTCACTTTCACTATTTTCACTGCTCATATTAATTTCATTGCACAAATCAATTATGTTAACAATAAATACGCAAACAAGAAAAAAATATGTCTGTCGAAGTACACAGAATGTCTACACTATTTCTAAACCAACACAGTTTGCATAACGCGCATGCTGTTTTGACAGTCCCAGACTACTATCTTTTCAGCTGACATATAACCCTCGTGGTAGGTCAATATAGCTGTACCGATAGGCGGCCTTACTACTTCGTTCGACTACACACAGCTCAGAAGCTATCCCCTCTATTGCCTCGTCGACTGTGTAGAATCATACACAGTCGAGGAGGCTATGGAGCGGATTTTTATTCTCAACTATATAGTCGAGTAACTCCTTCGCGCCTATACTACCTATTAACGCATTAAGTGTCCTATGCACGTATTCACTCGAACACGTCTGCCTATGCTATAATAGTTTTTTTCTGCTTCAACATCGTATCGAGCACTATTACACTGGATGAAAAAATATTTTTAGCGCGTGATAGAATAAAAACCAAGATAGCTGCGTTCGCTAAGAATATTTTCTCCTCCAGTGTAATGGCAGTCGATACGCTGCTGACGCATAAATAACTATTATTTATCGCAAAACAAAAAACAACATACAAATGACTGTAAAGATCATAAATATAACTATTTAAGCTCAATAAAAGCTTGCTTATACAAAACTTTAGTCAAGAAACTATCACAATAAAAATTTGAACCAATATTAATTGACAGTCGCGGTTCATTTAGAACTATTTTAACTAAATCAACGAATAATTTTATAATCAAGTAACAGTATTTTATTCACATTTAATTTACTTCAAATAGTTGTAAGGTTTTGTCATGACAATAACAAACTTTTTCCATAATCATCGTCATATATTTTCATTAATTCGCTCTATTACTCGCAAATGTGATTCGTAGCACTTGTTTTAATTGCATATTCTATTATAAAATTTGCATTAATCTTACTTTCTTTTGTATAAATTAATTATTGTACCATTTTTACAGATTGGAGCTTTACCCAACTATTTTCTATTTGAACATAATGGTCTCCGTAAACGCTCCGTCGACGTGAGTGAGCATCACCACAAAGCACTCAGGGACGAACCAAATGTGAGTATTTCCATGTTTGCTATAGCAAGTTAATATTAGTATAGCGAGTTTATTAGATATTATAACCAAGCGGTCAAACTGGGAAAATTGTTTGATCAGAATCTTGATTTTGTGTTTCAGTTTTGTCACGGTTATATTATACAAAGTGTAACGGGGGGGATATCTTGCAAAAATGGGAAATTTATTTATAAGCAAACTCCCACGATGCAGAGCAAACCGCCGCTCCGTTAATCACGTATGTAAGTACGTGTATTCGCTTTAACGTCAGATGATTTCTCTTTGTTGTCTTCAACCAAACGGAGTTGAACTCACCTTAAGTCACATGTATCGTGACACTCGATGAGTTTGAAGTGTGAGCGACTTTACTCCTTCTCCGCTTAATCCCCTAGGCGTAATAGGATTAACACCTAAGCCTATTTCAATTTCTTAAACTATTAGGAAAATCATATGACGAAATCGGCGAATAAGTTAACAAAGTTTATTCATAAAAAATCTATACAGTCTTTGTCGGGCCGAAAGACTGACGCACGCGAATAGGATTTACAATTAAATAATTTTCCGGTGAGAAAGAGAGAGAGAGAAGATTCGAATATTGGCGCGATCTAACGCTCGGCGCGAATACAAAAAATTTAACACTAAACGGTTGAACAAAATACTTAATATATTTTGTCTCGCGATAATTAAGGGAGGTGCACCTACCCTGCGGTGCAATTATGGTGATCAGCCGTAATTGTTGATGCCAATAAAATGTATCAACTGCCTCCGGAACTGTTATATCAGCTGCGCTGTCTCGTACCGCCTATCAGCTGCAAATATGCTGCTACCGTGATGCTGTAATCTGCCGATCACGTTGTTGCACTCGCGCGCGTAATTACTCTGGGTAAACTATCACTCGGCGAGAAAACAGTGCAAACAAAATTCCGGCGATATCTTCTCGTATCAACAGCTGAGGCGTAACTGCTAATTTAAAAGATCGCGCGCCCCCTCTCTCTCTATACTTAGAACTAACGCGCGAAATTCAGAATCGCGAACGGTGCGATAATTGAATCGACTACCGTTGCAAAAGATTTTATGAAATAATTATAATCTTATTCTTCAAGATCGAATAAGAATTTGACTTGACATGCATGACTATTCTGCTGTTTCAATTTGAATTCTTAATAATATTCATCAACATATAAGCTTTTAAACACATGAATAATAAAATGAGTGTTTAAAAATATATTATTGACGTTTCTTTATTATTTCTTATTCTTTAGCTGTAATATCATCTAGCACAAGTGTTTAGATGGTTCTTCAGCATCTTATTTTGTAGTTCAACACTGAATGTTCCCGCTCGAATTGTTTTTAATTTGCTGTTGACGTAGGCCAAATCTTCGTTGAGTTTACTTTGTAGCTTTTTCAGTACTATGGTTGCTAATAGACGAGTTACGTGCGACTGCCAAGGGAACGTTCCCAACCCTCCGCCTGCGGTTCTGCTGCAATTTGGATATGTTATAGCTTATTGAAAAATAAGTGTTTTTTTTATCGACGGAAAAAGCTTTCTAAGGGGCGAAGCTAACCTCGAAAATCACTCCTCAAAGCAGTTTTCTATCAATAATTTTGGTTTTAATTCATATTTTTCAATGAAACATAATGGAAAAAATTTGCCTAAGAAAAAGCAACTGATTTGCAATTGCAGCAAAATCTAAGGCAGAGGATTGAAAGTGTTTCCTTGTAAGTGACTTACACATTTTTGCAACTACTTATACCCTGGAATTTTATGAGATTAGTTATGAATGAGAATAAGGAAGTCTTTTGGCATGAAGCTACCTCTTTTTTTTGTCAAATTTATATAATTTTAAGAAGTTTTGTTTTACAAATCATTGACGACGTACAATATATTAAGCGTGTTATGAGGGCGGGTCAATAAGTCATTACAAAATCCAAGAGATGGCGCTCGTTACGCTTAAATTATGATATTTTTGCAAGCAATACTACTAACTAGAGATCGTACAAAGTTTCAGCTCGATTCATTAAGTCGTTTTTTTGTGAGCGTTGGTTGAACAAAAAGTTATTGGTTTATTTAAAAAAATGGAAAAAACAGAGTTTTCAGCGGTGATAAAACATTTTCATTTGAAAGGCCTTACACCAAAAGAAATCACAGTTGAGTTAAACGTCGTTCATGGCAAGTCTGCCCCTGTGTTCAAGACTATTTATAACTGGGTAAATGAATTTAAACGCGGCCGTACAAGAACAGAAGATGAACCTCGTTCAGGACGCTCCGTGGAAGTGAGTATGCCCGAAATGTTCAACAAATGGTCAATACGGTGTTGAGTGATAGAAGATTAAAATTGCGAGAATTAGTTGAGGCCACAGGGGTATCAAAGGGTACAATCATTTTAATTTTGCATGAAAAATTGGGGATGAAAAAAATATCAGTAAGATGGTTGCCACGTTTGCTTACTGTTGAAAACAAACGAACCAGCGTGGTCACCTCTGAGGCTCTTTTGGCACGCATACGTCGTAATCTGGAAGACTTTTGCCGTCGACTTGTAACTGTAGATGAAACATGGGTACACCACTACACTCCTGATATCAAAGAACAGTCCAAACAATCGATTACTGCAGGAGAACCAACCCCAAAGAAGGCAAAGACAGTACAGTCAGCTGGTAAGATTATGGCCACGGTTTTCTGGGATGCGTATGGAATCATCTACATCGACTACTTGGAAAAGGGCCAGATGATCACTGGACAATATTATGCGTTATTATTAGGTTAGCTGAAAGAAAAAAGCAGAGAAAAACGTCCTCTCTTGAACAAAAAAAAGGCCTCTTTCTTCAAGACAATGCTTGAGTTCACACGTGTGCAGTTTCGATGGCAAAAATTAATGATTTAAAGTTCGAATTAATTGACCATCCACCATATTCGTCTGATTTGGCTTCCAGAAACTTTTTCTTATTTCTTAACCTCAAAAAATGGCTAGCCGGACAACGATTCACGTCGAATGAAGAAGTCATCAACGAAACAAATGCCTATTTTGAGGGTTTTCAGAAATCATATTTTTTTGATGTCTTAAAAAAACTGGAAGGCCGTTTAGTAAAATGTATCGACCTTGAAGGAGATTATGTAGAAAAATAAAAAAAAATTACATACTCAAAACTTTTTTTTCCTTCTTTTTGTAAAGACTTATTGACCCTTCCCCCCTCCCCCCTCGTATTTACACCGCTCGTTAATTAGAAACAGTTAAAAAGTGATTTTATAGATACCTAAAAATGATTTCAAGTGTGAAACTATCAAAGAATATTTTATGGACCTACCTTATACGTTGTTTCTTTTGATATCTTATACTAAATTTTCAACATCATCATTTTCTATTTACGATTCACTCGTTTCATTTTACAAGTTACTAACTTCGCTATAAAAAAGCGTGGGGCTCAACTTGAATTCTTCGTTTTTATTTTTAATATTTGTTTCATAGGTTTCATAGGTAAGGTAGTAAATAAGGAATTCAATAGTCTCGTCGCTGGATGGTTGCAGAAACAATTAGTGTTACGATTCTGTTAAACTGAGATCTGTAGATTGTTGCTTGCCTTTTAAGGGTATGCATCTTAAAAGTAATACACTCGAATGCACCGTATAAACCATCAAAAGTTGGAAGTTGCATGGCGAAGTTCGGTGTAGTTTCAATTTTCCTTTCTTCAACCAGTTCTTAAGGTGTATTGAAAAGTCGATCTTCCGGATAAGTGTTACAAAAGCATCAGATGTAGACTCGTCCCCCGAAAGAGTATTTTCGTCTTCTTCAACGGTAGTAGTAATAACATCAGTAGCAGAAGTATCATCGTGCAAAGAGGCAGAGGCTTGACTAGCAGTGACTGTACTAGGCGTGGCAGTAGTCATGGTACTAGCGGCAGCTGCGTTAATGGATACAGATGAAAGGATGCTTGACGACGTTGACCGATTTGCTATAAAGTTTTGTTAAAACGAAGTTGTAAAATTAATAACATGATCTTCCAATATAATAATTGGAACATAATAACTATCCGAATTCAAGGTAGCACGGGTTGTATCCTTTTGTTAAATAATTTGTTACGATGTCCATTTGGTGGATGACAAGGTACCCTGCCGAGCAGCAGCAAGCTCGCCTGCCGAGTCTGACATACTTAGCTGGTGGATCACTGCCTCCCAATTTGATGATTGGTCTGAATTTGCTACACCACTTATCGTATTCTATTCCAACTGTTATTCTTTTTAAATTAAATTTGTTGAGAGCATGTGTTGTAGAGAACAGAAGATTTAGATAAATTAAAACTTGCTTACTAACTATTGTGTGCAGGCAAACGAAATTAACTAACGACTGTGATTTGTCCCCCATCGATAACGTATTTTATTCTTTGAATCTTACCAACTTAAACGTCTGTGATTGAATGAAAAGACCGTTAAATTCACGAATAATTTTACAAAGAAACTAAAAGTAATTGACTGTTACCGTAACGAATAAATTGAGATGACTAAAAAGGATGTTTTGTAAACACAGGTTTAGACACCATTATTTGTGCGTGAAAAGCTGGGCCCCTAGCCGTTTTCAAAAAAAAGCAATTACGGGATTCTACTTAAGGTGATTTTAAACATCTTCACATCGATTTTCAGCCCTTAAAATGTATTACAATTGAGGAAAATGCAAACCGTTTTTCGGCATTTTCTTCGCGTTTTGGTCTATATCTCGTAGGGAAAACGATATTTTTTTATGTATTTTATTAGTTTTATTTGTGTGAATTTTTCCTAACTGCTAAATCTATTTTTCAGAATTTTTCCGAAGCTCTGGAGCTCGAGAAAACGCTTTTTCTAATGAAAAAAATTAGATTTTTTCCGATTTTTTACTTTTTTCTCATTTTTTAGTAAGAAGCCGAACCGACGACGTATGTACACCTATTGCATTCAACTCTCTGGTTAAAAATATGTTAGATTATGCCTTAGAAAGTTCGAAAATCACCATGCCACAGGCGCTATAGGCATATAA